TTTAATATCTACATAAACCGGCAAGTAGCATTACATTTACAATGGGTAGCTGCAATTTACAGAGACATGGTATCCAGGTATGTCTTTTTTTATTAATATCGAGCACTGAGGTAAATTATTTTTCGGAATAATTGAGGATATAAATGGAGAAAACATAACTATTACCTTTATGGCAAGAAGTGGTAAATATTTTTATTGGCCTGGATCAACTGATCGACAAATCTTTACAGAAGCTGGTATATTATGTAAACTTGATTTGCCACCACAGCCAATTTCAAATAGATTTTTTAAAGTAACAAACTCCGAGGAAATTGATAAAATATGCTTAATTCATTAATTTTTTTTGTAACCAATGTTTACTTATAAATAAATATTAAAAATATATTTTGTATCATTATTCAATGAAAACTGTCATTAGCGTGCCTCTTAGTCATTGGCGTGGATATGGATTTTTGAAAAAGCCCCAAAATTAAAAATTGAGCTCAACAGACTCATCATTTCATAAACTTTATTCATTTCTTATAAAACAGTAGTTTTTCAAAATTTTCTGTAACTGTTTTTTTTTTAAATTTCTTATACTCAAGATTGCTCCTATTATAAGAATATCCCATATAGCCGAGCATACATTTTACAGCTAAGGCTGTAGATTGTGTACGAGGAAATTCATAGGCTTTTGTCGCCGGGTTTTAATTGTTACTTAGAGCCATTTTATAAAACTTAAAACTGATAACACGTATTGTTCCGCGCTAAAATAACAATGATATTTTGGAAAGTTACACAAAACAATGCGGCTATTAATGTTTACTTCTATGGTAGATAGGTACCTAAAACGCAATGGCGTAACAAGACAACGTGGGGCCCTGGTTTCAAATCTTAGTTCCGGGCCCCCTCTCATCTCTATAGTATTTACATAAATAAAAAAAAATAAGATTTATCATAAATGGCAACAGTAATGATTTCCTGGAGGTATGGACATACCAGTAATACACCAATTATAATTATTTTAATCAAAGTTCAAAATGGACCTAAACGCGGTACAGGGTGTCCGGTATACCACATTGTAGGAGGGAGTTACTTTAAGCATGGGAAAATTCCGACAAGTATTTTTTGAGTTATTAAGCATTTAAATTTAAAAAAATTGGCAACTCTGTGTATTTTATTATAAGCCGAAATATAACTAACGGTTGTTATAGAAAGAAAATAGGCTTACAACGCGTCTACAGCGCCTTAGTTATCATGGTACACCTTGTGGTACACAGATGTATTTTCCCAAACTTGAAATGTCATTAGAAAATTTCTAGAAAAATTGCGTTTACATGAATACATATTCTTAAACAAATCCTCGAAAAAATCAAAATAAAGATAATAAAATTCAATTTTTAAATCCTTATAACCATTTGTCGGAAGAATTTTTTTAAATTTCTTTTATACTTAAAATACCCCGTCGGTATACAATGTTAAAGATGATTAAGTGCTGGCTTACCCTGGGGCTTACTTAATGTTTTAATATATTATTATCGAGATTATAATTAATATTATCTCCTAGATTATCTCGATTATTATAAAAAAAATGTTTAAAAATCAAATTAAACTCAAAATCCAAAATTATTTTTTTAGTCTTTTAATAGTGCCACGTGCTCGGCCAAGTTTTTTCTAATCAAACTCCATACATTTGAACTAAGAGCAATACCCGATATAGTGCTAGTCTGAGCAGGAATAGTTAGGAGGTATTGTTGAATAATAATATAACCGTGACTTGAGCCTTTTGTAACAACCTCTAATGGAACTAAAAAGCCTTTATTATCTACTTCATACCATTGGCACAATACCCCCACATGTTTTCTGTTTCCTTGGACATTTGCAAAAATATTAGAATACTCAATTCCTCTCCAGGGTATGCAAAACCCAAAACAAGACCAATTAAACATTTTTTACTTTGTTGTTGTTGTTTGAATAGGCACCAGTCTCCTATAATAATTTATTTTAATTTTACTACCAAGTCAGTTTTCTCTAGGGAAGGACGATTTTTTTCCTTTCTAATTCAGATTCTTGTACACTAGGGTGGGCCGAAAATCCGCTTTTTTAGAATTTCGTTTAGTAATAGCAAAAATTTTGTTCATTATGTTGTAAAAAAATTTTGTGTAAAAGATTAAAATTTTCGATCAACATCCTAGGCTCGCCCAACGCAATTAAAGATCAGAATTATTAAATTATTTACTGTCGAAAATGCCACTTTTTGAAAAAAAATCGCAATTATCTTGATAGTTATCAATCGCTAAAAATCTTACCAAGAGATGTTTTTGTAGGAAATATAATTTTCCAAACAACCAAGAGTTTCTGAATAGTTTTTTATCGATAAACATTATAATGTTAAATATATTCAAATGGCTAAAAATTACAATTTTGATACTAAAATCGGGTTTATTTCTGAAACTATCCATCTGACGTAATTTTGTGTAAGGACCTTTTTTGTAGAGCATAAAATTTCCAATCGAAATTTATTTATAACTTATAAGTTAATAAATTTATTTATAACTTATAAGTTAATAAAAAATGTTTGTGAACATTTTGATCTTTAATTGCGTTGGGCGAGCCTAGGAGGTTGATCGAAAATTTTAATTTTTTACACAAAATGTTTTTACAACATAATGAACAAAATTTTTGCTATTACTAAACGAAATTCTAAAAAAGCGGATTTTCGGCCCACCCTATTGTACACGTTGTAATCTGTCAGCGCTTAATTTAGGGTTTTTGGTGCAAAGAAACCAACATATAGAAGATTTTCTAACTACGTATTCTTTCCCTTTTGACTCTCTTACGAAAGTAAAGGGGCTATTAATGTTAAGCTTTATTTTTTTATTTGAATAATCTGGTAATTATACATCTCCTGTAATTTTAGATAGCACAGTTAGATCTTGAAGGAACTCTTCGGAATCGCAACCATCTAAATTATCAACTTCATTGCAACTATCTTGATCAGAATCATCGAGAGAATTATCATTTTCTACAGTATTACACTCTTGAATATCTTCCTTTACAGTACTAATTTGAACTTGGTCTGCTTCGTTTATATTGACTTTCATACCAAGTTTTGATATTTCTTCAAACGAGTCTTTTATGGCTTTTTTTTAACTGTTTTAATATTTGGAAAACCGGAATTGTCGTCAATTGGAATAAAAGGTTTTCATTTTGAGTTTCGTACGAAGCATTTAGATGCCGTGTACGAGAAAAATGAAGATTTTTGTCTTCCGAAGTCAAAGACCGAAATATCTTCTTGCAATTGAAGTCTCTTCTAAAAGAGTGCAATTAACGACAGTAGAAAAAGTGGTACTCGTAGATCTTGAATTTCTAAAAAAAACTCTCACATTGCTGACTCCCATATTGCCACGGTATAAAATTTTCGAAAGAACCTTTTCCTTGGAGATTAAATATTACATTTAACAATCCATGGGCATTAATTTCGGTGCACAAATATGCATTAACTGTGATACCATTATCTGTAACTGTATATTCAGATTTTTCACTGAGCCAGGCCCGCCACAAGCGTAAAGAAAATACGCTGTACCAAATACAGTATATTTGGCATTGAACATTGATTTCAGTATTTAAATATGAGATTATAACGTAATATACAACAGTCAGGTATGCCTGTGTGCCTTCACTACCTGGGGCGTGTTTTTTAAGCAACGAACGTATTCTTGGATGGGAAATTTTCTCTACGGACTTAAAATTCATTTTGTTTAACGTTGCTTTGAGTTGCTTATCTTTCGAAACACTGTTAATCAGGATTTTTAAATGTCCAACGGTAACAACAAAGTTTCCTACAGGCATAATGATAGACGGTTTCAGAAATCGAGCTATTAATTTGGGGCCCAAGTGGACAGTGTCTTGGATGCATACATATTGTGGGATAACATTGGCATGAAATTCATCTATATTATATATATTATCTATATTTTGCTCGATAGTTTGTCCTAAAACATTACAATCAGAGTTTTTGACTCCGAGATTTGTATTTATTCTAATGGATTTCATTAGACGAGAATCATCGTCCGAGAAAAACTTCCTTGCTCTTCTAGTTTTCGTACCGTGTACTCCCAACGGTTGACAACATGATGGATATCAAATCTATTATCTGTTCCGAAAACTAAAAGGCAAAAAGAGGGAGCTTCATTTTGCAACGGTTGAGCCATAATGGTGTACAATGAGGAAGCTATAGTGTTACTGGCAAAGTGATTTTCAATTTCTTTGGCGAGTAGCGTCTTCACTGAGCCATACAGGGCGCGTAAGATTTCTAATATTCAAAAAATGTATAAGTTTAGAAATGCGAAGTTTGCCTTCTATTAACGGTATTGCCGTTAAACTTATGTATCTCAAAATTGAACTCGCAGAAGGAATAGGCAAATTTTCAACCAAAGAGTCATACAAAATGCGACCACCAAGTATAAAAATGTAAAAGTAAAGTATAGTTTCATTGAAATTTCATATCTGTTTGCCTGCTTCTGTTTTTCATGATTATTTAACGCACTTCTAATAATCAAAGGTAATAGAGTCGAATTTTTATACCTTACAGTTGGAGACGTTAGCATCTTATTGAGAAAGTCACATCCATCCATAGCGTTTCTTGGTGTAGTACATTGGACATTTAGAGAGATCTCATCGCCTTCAGAGTAGTTTGTCCGGGAACTACTCTGGCCTAATATTCCCCCGAACTATTTCCAAGAATTGCGTATACAGCTTGTCCAATGTTGGTGGTAGGGGCCATATTTTCGAGCATATTTTCGTGATTGATTTGCAATTTGGGCAGTTTGTTAGTGTCTTGAGCAGTTAATTTTTCAAATAAATTTTGAGTTTCAGGTTTGGAAACAGTTTTAGTTTTTTGTAAAGGACCTTCGGCAACTTCTTTTTCGGCATGAGCTGATATGCCTGATAATTTTATAAACACCATCTTGAAATTGTGTCGAATAAAGCTATATGGCAAACGGGACAATAGTCGCTTCTTAAACCACTTCATTCATTCTGTCATTTTTATTATTTGTTTTCTTCGTCACTTCTATTGAAACTTCCATGCCCATCATTCTTCTGTAAGTTTTTTCAGAAAGTGTATCATCTTTATAGTGTTTCCGTTTTTTATTCGATGTCGAACTTAATGCGTTTTTTAACTTTCGTATTTCTTCAAAAGCACAAAATTCTAATTGCGTTTTTTTTCTGTACGTTATTTTCTGTACTTTTGCCACCGTAATGATCGGGGGTTTTGATCTGACATGTTCGGCAAGGGTGATAAGGAGAAACTTATCACCATGATTAAATTTGAAATTTTCTGGTTGTTGATGCTGTACACCAAAATAATTGTCCTTATCCTCGATATTTTCGAGTAACTTTGTCATGGTAGTTCTTAAAAATTCTTCAATATCACTAATTGTGCCTTCTTCAATGAAACGACTAGAACGTGGATTATCCAAGCTATTGTATTTAAAAATATTTCTTATATGAAGTGGCATGAAAGCGCCTAATTTGAGCTCAAGCTTATCCCAGAATTTTGTCCGGCGTTCTTCCTCGTTGTTTTTAGACATTTTAATTCAATAAAATCTTAAACGTAATATACAAAAGCTAATTTAATTGAGTCTACAGTTATTTTCTTAAAAATTGAAATTTTGAAATTTTTAAAAATTTTGGCCAGCTAGTGATTCTTTAGATAATGCCCTGACAAAAATGTAATATCACACCAATACTTTGTAAATATCAAATGATAAATGAGAATCTGATAAATATAATATTTATTTTTTTAGAAGCTTAAAGTTACTGTTTAGGCAGTCAATTCCTAAAATTTGTTCACTTTGGAAATAAAGTCGGTACAAATGTGCGACAGTGAGAGTGAAATTAAGAATTTAATGCCACCAGAAATTATTGTAATTAAAACGGGTTTCATTTAATATTTTCTTAATTACCTAAATCTTATATTTAATAAATTTTGAAAATGAAGTGCTCATATTTTTATTTATTATAACTAGTCACTAAATCCTAATTGTATAATATACTTTTTTAAGTATTTTTTTTAATTGACCCTAGGATTGACCAGTGGGGTTGGGACATTTTTTTATTAAATATTTGGTATCTACGCATACAAGTTTATTATTAAATTTTTTTTCTATGTTTCTTATACAATTTTTAAAGATTTAAAAGGCGTCCTTCACCTTAAAAGAAAGCGCGTGACGTCACGATGTTACACTTTAAATGGTATATTGGTATATCGCTTTCTCGGTACGTCGAATAAAGTATACATTATTAAAATTATTTTTGCAAACGTCAAATGTGTCAAATTAAATTTTTTTAATGTTATGATTTAAAGTTATTTAAAACATTAAAAATGTACAGTGTAATTACTTTTATTGATTTAAATAACCTTAAATCATATTAAATATAACATAATAAAAAATTGATTTTGACAGATTTAAAGTTTACAAAAATAATTTTAATAATGTATACTTCATTCGACATACCAAGATATAATGAACATTTGCGATAATAAAATACAAATATTCGGAACGATATCCCTTTTAATTATAAACATAGGTGTACACTTTTTTATCAAGTGCGATTTTAAGGAATATGCAAACGATAACATTTTTCCGAACATTTTTCCTGTCAAATATAACCTAATAAATGTGAACTTTAATTTTCCGGCGAATTGACATTAATCTCCCATAAATTTAACAATTTAATGACTGCAAAAAACTTTTAACCAAACTCGTGCACACACTCGTGCATATAACAAATATGACTCAATAAATGAGACTGTCAATGATGACATTTTGCATTGTTAAATTTGTCACTTGTTTTTATGGATATGTATGTACGAGTACAAACGAACAACGAAATATTCACGAACGAATTAACAAGTAAAACTTTTAATTTACGTTGCAGCATTTAATATTTTATATATTTTAATATTTTACGACAATCAAAAAAGGCATAAAAAAGAAAGAAAAAAACTTGGTTTGTGTCATAGTCGATCCTTTTAAATTTACCATATTTACCGTATCGGAATCGCCGATACACAATACTTTTAACATCTGCAGATGATAAAATATTATTTGTCATCTGTCACCTGTCATCTGTCACCTGTTATCTGTCACCTTTCATCTGCTACCTTTTATCTGTTACCTGTCATCTGTCACCTGCCATCTGTCACCTGTTATCTGACACCTATCATCTGTCACCTATCACCTATCACCTATCTTTGTTGATATTTTGTTGGGTACCCCAGTAAAACTTCCTAAAAATCGATAAAAATCCCCGTAAAAATCTTCCTTACTTTACTTAGTTTGTGTCACATAGTTTTTTTTAAATTTATCAACCGTATCGGTATCGGTATCACCGATACGCGTATCGATGCACTGGCCCGACGTGTTCCGAGTTAAGCCGATTCGTCACGAAGAGTAAGGATCGAATGCTTTTTTTGCTTATTGGAAGCTTATTCAAATTCAAATTCAAATTTATTTATTCAGAAATTCTGTATAAGATACAATTATAAAAAATATACAAATTTATCAGTATATACCACCTAACCATATATGGTTGTATTGTGCATTTTTAGAATGATGATATTGCAGCCTATGATTGACAAAAACAATAGAAAATATATTATATTAGATCATAATTTTGAGATGTCAGAATGCTGAATGGGGAGGGGATAAGTACAAAGCAGAATATAAAATTTGAGATTCAATACATGAGAAGTAGTAAATTATTTTGACTAACGCAGTCATTATAAAATATTTATATGTTTATTTCTACTGTATAAGAATAATGAGTTGCAAAAACTGGGGTTTTGTATTAAAAATATTTGTATGGCCCCCTTATATTTTTTTTCATTCTTTATATTTCTTATATTAGTAGGTAGGGCATTATAGAGTTTAGGTCCCAGATATAATACTGTACGTTGTAAGTGAGCTCTATTAAAAAGCGGTAAGTAAAGTTGATTATTTTGCATGCTTCTAGTTGAGTATTGTATAGGCTTGCCAGACGTACCCCTTTTTGGGGTACAATACCCCTTTTTCTATATATAATTTTAAAAATACCCTTTTTCTAAAAATTTAAAAGGGGTACCAAAAATACCCCATTTTAAGACGGGTGTATTTTTACATAAAACTTAATTAATTAATTGAACGGACACGGGTCATTCGGCAATCAGCACTTTATCTTATATTAAATTATCATTTCTACCATTTTCTAATTCAAATTTACCGCTTTTTACATCTCCTGTCTACCGCCTTTATTACTACTGGGAGCGATGCGCATCATGACTGCGCATTACGTTTATACGAGATTACGTAGAGCACAGCAGTTCGACTATTCTAAGTAATCTTAATTTCTTAATTTAGTTTGGTGTCTTTAATTTCTATTTTTACTTAATTACTTAAGTGTACAGTGTTAATGTGACACTGATGATGAAAAATCGCAAGAATTTCAACCAAAACGGAGCAAAAAAAGACGAAATAAAGATTTGTAAAATTATTGTTAGTTTTAAGATCATCAGTATTCAATTTAAATGCTAATTGGAGTCACCTTTCAAATACCCCTTTTTTGAAATTAATATCTGGCAAGCCTAAGTATACATTTTTGATCATACTAAAATTTTCATTTCCGTGCATCCATGTTAGACATTGTTGTTTATATATATTTCTGACAGGTAGCAATCCCGCCTCAATGTACAACCCATTCGTAGAATGTACTTTATTTTTTCCAAGAATCACTCTTAAGATAGAATTTTGGGTAACTTGTACTAGATTTAACACATTGTTAAAAGAACCACCCCATGCTGTTATGCAGTATCTTAAAATTGATTCCACTAGCGCGGTGTACACGAGAACGAGATTCCTCCTGTTTAGGATATAACGAAGTTGATAGAATTTGTAAATAAGACATCTGATTTTATTATTAATATATAGTACATGACTATTCCATCTTAGATACTGGTCAATAATAACTCCTAAGTATTTAATTTCGTTAGTTTTCGAAATTTTAGGACACATGCAATCAATTTCGTGACAGGTTGGTTTATGAATATATAAGTCAGGCATATTTGGTTGGCCCTCTGTTGTAATAGAAAAGGTGATAAATTTTGTTTTACTTATATTCAGACTTAAAAAACTAGAAGATAACCAAGCATTGACTTTCCTCATTTCACCCTCTGTTTTACTGTAGACCTGTTCCCATGAGTCCCCTTCAAAAATCACTGCTGTATCGTCCGCGTACGATATAAGATGACCTTGAAATTGTGGTAGATTTATGGGATATTATTAATGTAAATTAGAAAGAGAACTGGGCCCAACACCGTCCCCTGCGGTACGCCCATAATGATTTCAGAAGACTCACTTAAACATGAATCAATCTTTACCCTTTGGGTTCTATTTTTTAAGTAATTTCTCAACAACTCCAGAGCCATACCCCTCACTCCCACGCTGTCAAGTCTCTCAAGCAGTATTTCATGAGATACAGTGTCGAAAGCCTTGGCTAGATCTAAAAAGACAGCCAGGCATTTCTTATTTAGATTTAAGGTTGAAACAGTTTTGTTTAGAAAATTCAGAACGGCATTTTCAGTGCTTTTATTTTTCCTAAATCCAAACTGTCTCTCTGAAAATACTTCATAACAGTCGAAAAAGGAGACAAGCCTTGTTTTGAGGCACTGTTCAAAAATTTTTGTAAAATTGGAAATGACGGATATGGGTCTGTAGTTGTTTACTTCTTTTCTGTTCCCTGACTTATATATTGGCGTAACAATCGAGTCTTTCCATTGATGAGGTATAATACTGGTAGTAAATGATAAATTAATGATATGTTTCAAGGGTGTTATAATGTTATTGTGGATGTTTTTAATTGAGAGGGAAGTTATTTTATCAGGACCAGGAGAAGAATTATTTTTTAATTTAATTTCGTTATGTTCAACTCTTTTTAAATATATTGACGCTGGGATTAAAGAATTATAATTTATTGGGATTAAATTAGTATCAATTTTCGAGGCTATAGTTTTGCCAATGTTAATAAAGAAGTTTTTGAATATATTAGAGATTTCTATTTTATCTGTTATTAGTCTGTCTTGTTCATTGTATATTTGTATATTACTTAGTTTTTGTTTCTTAGGTTTAGTATTTGTAGCGTTATTTATGTGAGCCCAGACTATTTTAAGATTTTGTTATAATACTCATTTTTTGTCCTTTTTATTAAAACATTTAATCTATTTCTAAATTGGTTATATTCTTGTTTACTATGCTCAGAGTAATGTTTATTTAACTTTTTTTTTTAGCTTATTCCTATGATTAATTGCATCAATTATATAATGAGTAATCCATGGTTTAATTTTATTATATTTTTCACCTTTTTGGACTTTGATCTTTTTAGTCGAAGCATTTATACTAGTTTGCAATTTATTTATAAATATATCATACGCTAGCTGTGTTTCTTTTATGTTAATGATCTCATTCCAATTTTCTTTTGATAGTTTTTTATTAAGTTTATTATAATCGATAGTTTTAATTTCTGTATTTATAAATGTTTCAGTCTTACACGAGGG